GAACATACACCTCATTAAGAACCGTAAAGATGATTGAATTTACCTCGCCCAATGTATAATTAATAGCATTTGGAGGTGGTGTGTTTGTGAACCAACATTTAGTGCTCGAAAGTACAAGCAAGTCCTTGCCGAAATTCGAAAAGCATAAATCGGTCAGGTAGGTCAGGCAACTCAAAATGTCAGAATTGTACTTTTTCTGCCACAGCTGTAATAATCTAAGAGCTGAATTTATGGTTTCAGTAGTGTAAACGGCTAAGTTACGTTTTTCTGCATTTCCAGTGTGAGTACGCTCTTGATTTTATGTTCATATATCTCTTACGCTTTCTTAAATTAATGGCCATACGGGCTTTGAAAACTTACTCCAGTGCCGTACTAACCTGAAATTTAGTATTGCAATTCCAAATTCACTGGATTTAGAACTGTGGCGGCAGGTGGGTGGGGACCAGACTGATGCGCATTATCCAAATTTGCTTATGTGTTTTTTGATGCAGGCTGCTGTGTGAAACGGCTGGAGGTCGGATATGGAGTGGAAAGTCAAGGTGCTGTTGGGAAGTCGATCTCTGCCAGTGTTTCGTAAAGACTATGCTACCAAATTTTATTTCCCTCGTTTTTTTCGTTTCCAAAAATGGGAAAATGAAGTTAAGCAAAAGGTTTGCCAGACCCCTCGGAGCAGTTCCGAGCTAAGTGCACATCTTGATTGTTGCAGCGTATGTGTGCCGGGCAGACTTGCTCGAAAACGCAGCTGTCATCAGTTTTATACTCTGAGTCACTATCCAGTGCTTCTGTTCACTTTTCAAGCATACTTCCAAAGGGGATTATGAACGGTTTTGCCAGCGAAATGCTGTTGATAGCGAAGCGCTGTTAGTGGAACACAGCCAAATACCCTGGCGCCCGTGCCTCTCGCAGAGATCAAATTACGGATGGGCTCTGATTATTGAAGTCTGTAGCATCTTTCTCCAGACAAACAGTCGTGAACCTTCGTATCGTTACATAACAGTACGGGAGAGTATTGATGCGATTCGGCAACGACTCAATGAGCAGCAACAAACGAACGCTGCCTGCTCTTGTCAAACTGCACCCGCGGGCACTAGGCCAATTCGGGAACACTATTACTCATCAATTGGTGGCGGAAGCGACTATGAGACGGTTCGTTTCTTTTGTTCTTAAAAACTGTTTCTCTTCCGAATGGACGGTGACCAGCTCAAGAGGGCACAAATTTTTGCAGCCCTTCTGCGTTGATGTCAGAAATGTCCCAGTAAACTGGTTCGCATCCTTCTGCCCTTTCTTGCACTCTGTTTGGCTGCTGTTTAATCTTGTTGCAGCTGGAAATCATTCTATCTGTAAAATTTCGTTCAGTATGTCTTTTCAGCTCATTGACGGTTTCTTCCTGGCGTAACGCCATCGCGTTACTAGTATCGCTCCATACTGCAATTGAAATATTTCGTTGAAATTGTGTTGCTCTGCGTTGTTGCACAGCTTGTTGAATCACCCCTAACTTTTCTTTCCGAGCAAGTTTGGTTCATTTTTATGAAAGAGAACTAATGGCGGAGCAGAAGTGAAAATTGTTCATTTTTCAATCGATATGGCGTTATTTTGGAGTCTTCGCACTGCATGCTCTGATCTTCTTCATAGCTTTATACCTAACTCGTTATCCATTTCTGTTAGTTTTCTCACATAAGAATAGCTTTCTATAAGCCTAGCAGATTGATACGTCGAACTGGAGTCATATGCGTTTCTCGTCCCCGTAATTTCCAGATTTTCTTGAATTTGGAATAAAATTTCCTTTGTTTTCTGCGATGAGCTTATGTTATTTATAAAAAATAAGCATTTAGAACATTTCACAGTTATACAGATTCCCTTTGTTTGCTACGATTTCCCGCAGGACTTAAAAGGCTTTCGGTAATTCTTTCATACTCCACATCTTTGCAGAATCTTTTTTTTTGGGCTGTCGGATGGGGCCATGAAATAGTGTTGGAAAATATGGATGTATATCGAATTTGCATCTTGATTCTAAGGGTTTGCATCTAATTCTGAGGGTTTGCATCTAAGGGTTTCTAAGAGTTTGCAAGTGTATCTTGATTCTAAGGGTGATCCTAAGGGTCTAAGGGTTTGATTCTAAGGGTTCTGAAGCCTACTTGTTTTCGTTGAAAATCACTTCGATTCGGACGTATGTTGCCCGCTTAAGAAATTGTATGTCTATAATAACAGACCTGCTTATGTTTTAGCATTTTTTTTGCATTCTATCATTCTGCTTCTTTGATTTGGGTCAGAGTATGCAGCAACTCGAGTGCTGAGTGCTTTTTATAGAATTTTATCCTTTGGAACGATGACAGCAGTGCACATTTCAGCTGCAGCTCTCCGTGGAGCAATCTTCTTGCGACAGTCGAGATCCTTCCACTTCAAACGTCAATCAGGGTGTGTTTTTTGCAGCTGTGACACGCTAGATTTCACCAGTTGTTATACATATTGCATTAATTATAAAAACGCATTACGGCGAAACTACATCTGTGTGAATCTGCTTGTGCGTGTATTTGTTTGTATCTGTGTGTTTGCCTCTTCTTCGGAATAACTGAACTTGAGGGCTGCAAACCTAGGAAATTGAGAGTTTGAGTGCACAACCCCCAGCCATTTTCGGATCCGGAAGCATAAAATTAACCTGCACTTCGCTTATGTCCGGGATTGGCTGTACCGGGAGAGGAGCGGAAGGAGAACATCTGAAGAGCCTGGATACAGGCCACTGGCGCCATGTAATGGTACCGTCCCATATTTGTGGCGCCAGCAGGCCAGTGCGTCCCATATAATAGTGGCGCATTTGCTTATGCATGTCCAAAATGACTGATCGCAAAAACGTGTTATATGTAGGTATAGCATCACCCTCTTCGGATTCAACTGTTTCCCCTTACTTTTACGAAGTAGGCCATTATAGTAAAGGCAACAGGTAGAAGTTAGAGGCACGCATAATCACCAATCATGCTTGTCACTTCTTCGCAATAGCACAGGAGCTCTGCATGGACAGTCTCGATTTTGATGATAAATTCTGTTCATGCTCCTCCTTATGCGCTTTTAATCGTTTGCTGTAAGCACTGTTCGGTTCAGAGTTGAATTCCGAAGCTGCAAGCGGCAATGCTTGCATTACTGTTGATGAAGAAGGAGCGCCGAGGCCGCCTACTTCTCCAATTCCTGTGCGCACAAATGTCGAAGAAGACGGAAATTCTATCTCGCCATCATTTTCAGGTAATTCGACAAATTATCAAATAGTTGTTGGTTCCAAAGGGCACCGTTTCAGGTGGTCAACCTTCTGATAAACGTAGCCTTGCATCTTATCAGTTTGGCTACCGCCGAATCTGCTACATTCATCCACAGCGATCGTTGCTGATAGAAGGTGGCACGTTAGAAATTAGTGTGTAAGGGATTCCTAAAGAATTCACTGTGAACAGTTTATTTTAGGTTGTGCTCGAACAGCGAATTTTGGCAGTAGCTACAGTACCACTACAGAAAAAATTCGACAACTCCGATCGAACTTTTTTGACCCAGAACTAAAACTGCCGAAAGAATTGGAGCATGCACCTTCATCCGGCCGTCATTTCGAACCTCCTAAAAAGGCGTTAAATAAACAGTTGACTTTCGGGACTAATGACTGGAAGACGAATCCGGCGAGCAGTAGCTTCTGCACAATCCATCGGTCGGTCGAGGGCACCAGCTCAACGAGAACTAGGAATCTGACATTTCGCAGCGCATCTTTTTCCAGTGATTTCCCAGCATTTAGACAAAAACTGCGTAACCATTTTGGTCACAGAAGTGCTCCCGGTGATTCGCGGTCACGGAGTTTTCATGGTTCAAACATTTTTGCGTCAAAACGGCTCAGTTCGGAGGAGCTGATGGGTCGGAATGATGTTGTGCTTGCTGTTTGTGAAATGGACGATGGACATTCGTCTGGTTTAACAATGTGTCAGAATGAAAATCAAGGTAGAAAACGGACCTTTTTTCCGGCATTTCATGGCCGGAATGTCGTGAAGGTAAATTATGATGTATTTTATTTTTCTTGTTTACTGGACCCATCGCTCCCATATAGCCTTACATCAGCGTTCGAGTGGAATTTTCGTTTTTTTTTTTT